CTCTTTCATATCCGTCTTTATGCTTTGTTTGCTGCACAGGTAGATTTAATCAACCAACAGCAGGGTGACAGCTTCCTGCCAAATTATCTCTGATAGGTGCAATAATAATTACATTGGACATGGATAAACAGGCTTGTGTGATCTCCCACAGTTCTTTTGGAGTTGGATGATAGTTAGATAATGCTCTGTTCAGCTCAGAGAAATCACAGACGTGTGTTGTGGTTTGTGGGACTCATCTTTGCTGGTGTGGAGTTGTGATATTTTTGGACAAGTAGGGATGAAAGCCCAGGGTCCTGTGGCTAATGAGATACTGAGGCAGTGGGAATGATGGTTTTAATTACTGCCCAGGACTGGTCTAAAGGGGGCGATTGCTGAAGAGCATGCTGAGTGTCCTAGGTTGGGAGTTCAGACTGATGCCAGTCATGCTGTGCCTGGCTGCCTTTGATGCTCACTCCCCTCTGCTTTATTCCCACATTGTGCTTATTAGATTCTTTGCTGCTGATGCTTCACTGCACCTTTGTTCAAACCAATGCTTTGGACAAAGAGAGGCATAACCACTGAGATTTTAACTTCAAACCACCAGAAAGTTTCAGTGATGCAGAAGGCAACTTAATCTTTTCTGGAAATTAAATCTGCAGTGGTCCCATTGTGCAGTTTCTCTCCGGCACAGAGGCGTTTGCTTGGAAGAGACAGTGTGATATTTATTGTTGAAGAATCAAAATACAGGAGTCCAAGTGTTAGTATCCGGCGTGTATGCAAACTAAAAATAGCAATCGCTCCTGTGATGGTGAAAACTGAATCGGGGAAGATTCCTCCCTGCTGTTCGCTCACATTTCACGGGGGAGGAATATAGTGGATTCCCATGCAGGCTGCGAGTCCTCCGTCTCCTCGGCTGCTCCCAGTAGGAGGGTGTTGCTATGTGTCTGCTCTCTGTTCTCCTGCAGCCCAGCTGTGGACCAACCCTTGTTGACTTTTCAGAGATCACATGGCATCCTCACTGAGGCCGGCACCGAGGGGGTTCTGCCCCTGCTGGACTCCGCTATGGTCAGTACGGGCCTTCTCCTCGTCCTGCTGTCTTCAACCCCTGCCTCTCCAAAGAAAAAAAAAAAAAAAAGAAAAAGTGGTTGGACTGGCTAGAACACATCAAGAATATTCACGAACACAAGGTATTAAAAATGACCCAAATTCTTTCTTGCCAGTTTTCCTCTTTGACAAACGATTGACAATGTTTGCTTTCCACCTTTACAGTAGGCTATTCAGTGGCCTATTGACTCAAATCGCTTTTCCACCCAGATTTCCTGTATCTGTGTACACAAATAATCTCTATTAAGTCAAGGCCACCAGAGGTTTTTGTTATCAACAGAACAGGAAACAGCATATTTGCCAAGTTCTGTAAAAACAAAATGGAGCTTGAATGGGACGTGTCCTTGGTGCTTATGTTTGCAGGAAGTGTGGATAAGAAGTTGAATAGTATGAAAATATGGTTTTGTATTTTTAAAACCGCAATGATGATTTGTGTTTAATGTCGAAGTTAATAGGAAGGATTAAGTTTATAACTGCCAGGCTTTGCAGAAAGTGTTGTACAGAGAAGAGAAAGCCGGGATCACGTGTGACAATGATCATGAATCAGACGTAAATCGTTGACATCTAAAGTCAGTGCCACTGTTTAGGTTCATTTCGACCCACAGTCTTATCATCTCTCCTTTACAAGATGCTTGGTTGCCCATAGCTTCATCTTTCACAAATCAACATCAGTGCCATAACCCGAAACACTACTTTACCATTAAGACAAGCAGCAATGTAATGTCTCTCTCTCTGGTTTCAAAATGCAAAGAAGATACTGTCACATAAAGGAAGACTGCATTAAAAACAACAAATCTATTGAAATCTATCAGTTTTGAGCAGCAGTGTGAAAACTGTCCTCAGATTATGCTAAACAAAACATGAAAGAGAAGATTTTATTGTTTGACGTGGAAACAACAGATACAAAATGAAGGCTCAAAGTCCACTTTGATCCACTTTTTTTTTGTGGATGGAGTTTGTTCAGTTGTCATGGTAATAACTGGTGTCATCTGATGTTAAAACTGGCAGCATCAGATGTTTTCACATTTTTCCTCTAGTATTTTTCATTCAAAATTTGCTTGGAAACTATCTTCTGATGGAAAGCTGCTACTGGAAGTGAACCTCAGCGATCCAGACAAAACCAGCTGTGCACCATTGCTAACAAAGCCAGAAGCTGTTTTGTTTTTTTTCTGTCTTCATTATAAATAGAACACCACAGTTTGTTTCAGATTTCGCTTGCTTTGACTGCTTGTTCTGCATGGGCTTTAGCAACCCATGGTGCAAGTGTGTGTTTGTTTGTGTGATGCAATGCCTGCGTCTTTTTAAGGGAGAACACACTGATGCAGAGCAGATTAGATTCCATGGCAGGCAAAGGAGAATAATCTAATTTTCCTAACCCGCTTACTGATATCATGGCAGGGTAGATCCTTATTATTCAGAATCCCCTCTTGTTCTGGTTTTGCAATCAGGGGTTCAAGCTTAATGGAACCACTGTGATTTATGTGGAACGAAAGCTTTGATCCTGTTTTGTTTTTAACGGTTAAACCAGGAAATGAGTTTGGAAGCCATGAATATTGCATGCATCAATATGGAAACATGTTTATGACAAGGACGCTGATGATGGTGATGTTGATGTACTTGGTTGTGTTGATGTTAATGTCAGAATCAAGACAGTGAATTTTGTGAAAGTGCAACCAGTTTGATATACTAACTGTGTTCCATGTTTCCTTTCATCAGCTTTGGGCTGTAGTATCTCACAGAGCATGATTAGCGTAAGCATGGAATCCACGCCGCTGGGGGCTGCAGGGCGAGCTTGAAGCCTGAAGCGCATTCATCAACGTCCCTGGCAGGGTGCACCTTTCTCAGCCTCACACCACTCAGCTTGCAGTCCTCTCCCTGGCCCCGTTTTCTTCTTTTGCTTTCATTTTTACTCTTTTTTTTTTTTTT